ACTAACTAACTAACTAACTAACTAACTAACTAACTAACTAACTAACTCAGGGACAGGTTGCCTCATGAGTTAAAATCAGTTAAATTCTTTAAATATTTACAGAAATACAGCCCCACTTACAAAAATGTTGGAACACTAAAAAAAATATATATATGTCATATTTAAATAATTTGACTGGTTGAATGGAAAAGTCTTCGGCATGATGACAGTCACACATCTCAGTAAAAAAAACTACCCTCAACTCATTAGGTTAACTGGCAACAGGTCACTAACATGACTGGGAGTAAAAAGAGCACCAAAGAGATTTAGAGTCTCTCGGATGTTAGCAGCAGAAGACGTTCAGAAATACACAAATATACATCCAAGAGTTGTCATTTTAGAAAAAAACGTAGAAATATGACATTGTGAAGACACTGAATATTCGACCGTCTACAGAACGTAATATCATCAGCTCAATCGGAAAGAACTGGGTTCTCATTTGGCATTCAGCAAAAACATAAAAAGTCCTTCTAATTATATTTCTCTGAAAAAGATGTAGAACATAATAAAAAACTATATAACCTGTTTAATTTATTTTTCCCCATTAAGTTTCTTTGCTATGTCTTTGCATCAGTTGAATAACACTGAGATAATTTGACATAATTAACCACCTTGTGGCATATTTTCTTAAAAAGAAAAAGGTAGTGATTAAAAAAACAAACAACCCAGACCTATTAATAAAGCGAAAAAAACTGAATATTCTGAAACTGTCCCATCCTCTCTGGTGCTTTGGCTGGCCTTGTGCTCATTCATCCCTCCACAGAGCTTTAAATGGCCTCCTGGAGGCAACACACTCGCTCATCCCAACTAAGTACAAACAGAGACGTGTTGGCGCGCGCACAAATTGCAATCAATGTGTAGTTCCCTTTGTGTGAGCGTGCACGTAATTTCAGTTCAAGGCTGCCATCACAGCAGGCACCAATCTGTGTGAGCAGTCAAGCAGCAAATCCATCAACTGTTCCTCGGGCAACTCACACACACACACACACACACACGTTCAGTGACAGATACTGTATGACCGCAGTCTTGTTTTTCTACTATCATTCCTCATTTATTCTCAGTCTACTATTCCCTGTTCCGTTCAATTCCAATCAAATTTCCTCCTCAGTTTGTTCTGTTACAGCTCTGATGAAACACCAACAGCAAAAAGTCGAGTCAAACCCTTTCATCATGCGGTTCTGCTGTGTTTGTGGAATACGAAGAAGCGGGTTTCACGTGTGAGTTTACTAAACAAACTAGGGACAAAAAAAAAGTATGGTAAATTACGATTTTGCTTAATCATAAAACAAGAGTAAAAAAAAAGACGATTCCCAGTTACTTCCCTATCCACTACATCCTCAAATCTTTCCTTCTCTTTGAACAATGAATGAATTTAACCACATTCAAATTGTGTCTAAATAGCCTCTGTGATGTGACAGTCACGTCCCGTAAAGCTGTTTAACGTCAGGGCTGCCAAAAGATCCACTTGATTACTTCCATTATGCCCCGGGGAGACGTATTGATGAGGGAAGTGTGTTTGGGTAAAGATGGCACTCACACACAGCGTGTCACAGCAGGCGCGAGTGCCAGAGATGACACTGTATTAGCAAATCGGAATATCTGACACGTCGAGTAGTCGTGTTGGGGCGTAAATCAGTCAAATACCCTGAGCTTTGATAAGTATTAAGTGTGAAACAATAGGTTGAAATGGGCACTTGACAGTTACAAGATAAAAGGCGGCCCAAATGTAGATAAGTTACATTTTAAGTTATAATTACATCAGCAGATAAAGACCTTTCCGGACAGCTGCTCGTTGTTGGCGATGACTTTTCATTTAATGTCCTGTTTAGTCCTGTTTCAGCTCTCATTTGATCTCCATCAACTTCAGATTAACTGAAGAATTGTCTCTTGGTTGGTTAATGATGCTCCTCCTCCACTGGCTAACCTCACCTCTCAACTGTGCAGTTTGACAGAACTTCAGAGCTTTGAAAACCAGTGAGTGGAAGGAAACAACGCCAAAAGACGTGTTAGATGAGTTATTGTTCACTGAGAAGAGATAAATAAATGAAATAAATAATTGGTGGTCTTGGAGGAGCAACTGTTGCGCTGCCCATCAGAAGCCATTTCCAAAAATATTTGGATTATATCGTTCTAAATTTTTTATGATCCAGAAATGGATGTAAATTACACACAGCATTTGCTTAAATGATAGTATAGTAATGTGTCTGCAATGGATAGAGTTCTTACATTTACTATACGCCAATAAATAATGAATTCACTAATGTGACAATTCAGTAATCAGACAATTCTTAGTCCATTAATGGAATATATGACATTTGTCCTTGTGAACACAAGGACTGGGTTAATATTTGAGCCTAATTAAATTTTTTTTTCTCTTCATTAATTGATTGAACTTTGCTTTGTTATATGGGGATACTTCTTCTTTTTTAAGTCAATTTAATTTCTTTTTTTGTCCTAATTGCTTCCAATGTCAACAGTAAAGTCCTCTGAGATCCAATAAAAAACGGTGTGAATGTGGACTTGGTTTGGAAGAAAGCAAGCACCTGAGACCTCAGGACTGAACTCAGGACAGAAACAGACTGACATTTAAGACTCAAAACAGTCACACAGATAAGCAAAATAAAAAAAACGACTTCAAACTACCTCGAGTGAAAGTTATTGTACAGCGTGTTTGGTCTAACCTGAACAAAAGCCGGTGATTCTAAGGGGAGGTGAAGAGTCCCTGACTGAAAACCTGACCTAGATAAATGCCATGAAAGAGTCCCTCAGCGTGCTGATGCAGCTCAGAGAGGAATGAATGACTTAGGTCCGCCAGCAGAGGCTTTTTCTCCCCTCCATTATTGTCTTTTTCTATGTTTACAGGATGAAATGTCTTCATTCATACTCCAAGAGAGACTCTCAAACGGGTGGTGCGTAAACCGCCACAGAAAGGGGACATAAAATAAATGTCACGGTAGTCTTTTCATGCCGCTTCGCTGGCCAAAAAGATTAAGCTGACTGGAAGCCAGAGAAAGAGTTCAAATTTCCCTTCACTGATATGTTTGTCTTGTTGTCTAAACAGCACAAAGCAAAGTTAAAGGGAAGTGTCTTTCGCTCTCGGTGGGGGTTTTAAGTGGTAGTCTGGCAACATAAACAATCTGTGCTGGAGGAACATGAGACCGGGAGATGGGGGAAACGTTCGCCTGTGAGAGTGTTGCATCTGGCTGGCTCGCTTTCCTTTGCCTCAAAAGTAATTCGACGCTGAAGTTGGTGCCAAATTAAAATGCGACGCCAGATGGCGAGGAAAGACAGAACAGCTTTAAACAGGACATTTCGAGTACGTTTCTATAATGTTCCGCTGGAGTTTAGATATATAAACCTCATCCAAGTGTGAGTTTGAAGGTCTGGATTGATCATTTGATGGACATTGAATTTTTTTTCTGTTCACCGCATCGCTCTTGCAGGCAGTTGCACATCATGACACACAATATGTCATTTATCACATAACACAGCAAAGAATCCTCTGTTTAAATCTGTCTTCTGTCCATAGAAATGTCCGCACTAGCTTTTTTCAAGGCGCTTGACTGGCAGATTCATCATAGGGTGTGTTTCCAATGAGTAGATGCTCCGAACACAGTTTTATGGGATCTCAGAGAATTTCTGTCAGACATTAATCAAAAATCCTGAAAAGTTTTAGCGAAACTCTTCCCTGTGAAACCAAACATTTACAGAATGGATATTGTGAACGGTTCCATTCCGCCACAGTGTCAAGGCACCCCCGGCTCCCACATCAATGTGAACTGACACACAGCTAACGCCGATACCCCTTCAGGTGTCCTGACATTAGCTACACACAACAAACCGAGCTCAGGCTGCCCACCCACCTAATTAGACGGGGAGCACATCACTTGGAAATGTTGACCGCCTTCCAATTCCTTCATCAGAAGTTCAGGCACACACAAGTGGGTGCTGGCACCCTCTTGTATAATTGTAAGTCCTATCCATGACTGGCCTGAGTTGATGAAAGGCTGTGCCACACACAAGAGGCTAAAGACACATACAGGCCAGTTCGAAGTCAGAAGTTCCTCCATCTTTCATTCACTAACACGAGTTACTTTAAGGTTATTCAGGGAGGACGCTGAATTGTGTGACTATTTGAAGTGGAATTTCAAATAGAAAATAGAATTTTCTTGTTGGGTGACAGTGGTCACTGGAGCCTATCCCAGCTGACTTTGGGACAGGTCACCGGTCCATCACACACAGAGACAAACAACCACGCACAGTCCCATTTACTCCTAGGGGTAATTCGGAGAGTTCAATTAACCTACTTGCATGTTTTTGGTCGGTGGGAGGAAGCCGGAGTACCCCTGAGGGAACTCGCAAAGACAAAAGAATAACATGATAACTCCACATAGAAAAGCCCCCGGTCACCATCTTTAAGGCAACGGCCCTGACCACACCACATGGACTCAACTATAAAACAAGATATTTCAAAGGAGAATTATGGAGTCGGTTTTCCACATCCAGACATAAAAGATTCAACAAAGTAAAGAAAGAACATTGCTTGTGATTGTCTTTCAAACTAGCTGGCTGCTTCTGACAATTTACCCTTGACAGCAAAGCAGACCGGAAGAATGAACGCGACTTTAAGAGGATTGGTGCCTCTGCTGTGCCCTGGAAACGTGACAGAGATCCACCGAATGGAGTCCTTATCAACCAAAATGCCACTGTGAAGTTTATGAGTTGACGCATGCTCTACAAAAAAAAACAATCCCCCTTCAACAGATGTAAACCATCATTTAAGACAACCTTTTTCTCCAGTGTTTTCCACTCGGTGCGCTCTTTTTTTCTGCATCGTATGCATCAAACCTGCGGTGCTTATTACCGCTAGAAGAGCCTTCACACTCCCGTTTTCTTTTTTTCGGAGGGCCCGCGTCAGCGTTGCACGAGCAGCTCACTCGAGACCCACGCAGTAGCCTTTGTCAGATTCTCGGGCTCCAGCCGAAGCTTTGGTGTCGGCCTGTTTATCCGAGTGATAAAATCACAAGCACAACGGGGTGGGGGGGGGGGGGGAATGAAAGCCTTACAACAGCCCTGACAAAATGATCTGTCAGCGTGATGTGTCCGGTGGGCTTCGGAGCATTCTGCAAAGAGTCTGCAAAGACACACTTTTACATACGATGAGTTTACGGGGTATTCTGTGGTCGTGGTTGTCAGTTCGTTCATCCGCCAATGGGTTCGAAAGATCACGGACCTAAGGTGGATTTGTAACTGACAGCTGAAAGGCTTCCGATAATGAGCCTTGAAACGTCTTACTGCTCCCAGATAGCTTAAAAAACACATTTAACAAACGCGAAGACATATCTTATGAAAGCCCTTTTCTGTGCATCAGCAGAGGCTCCAATTCAACTCGGCCTCCTCTGTTCTTTAACGCCATGTGCAGCTATTATAGCTTCCGTGACAATTAGAGAAACATCAGAGATCATGGCCATTAAAGATTCAAAGAAAACATTTTGCTTTCTACGTGTCCCTGTTGGCAATGAACTTCTCCGCTTCCTCTTTGGTTTTTTCTCAGCAGCAACGAGACGGCATTTTGTGAAAGGACATAAAAACTACAAAAGCCTTTAAATACAATAGGAAAAAATCAATCTGTTACCTCGAAAATGAACTTAGTTGAACGTTTCACAGGTTCAGATAAAAGCTCCGAAAGCCAGGAAAAATTAATAAAGGGACTAATGATGGGTGATGAAGTACTTCTGGGTACAAATTCCATTTCACTTCTGTTTTGGTTGTTGCCATTTTTTCTCATCATTGGATGTTTAA